GACAGACAGACAGACAGACAGACAGACAGACAGACAGACAGACAGACAGACAGACTTACTCTTCTCCCCATCCTCGCCTTCTATCTTCACTCTCTCCAAGTGCCGGACATATCGACGAATCAGCAAACACATAACATCCTTCATTTCAGGAAAAGTTCCGAGTTGAAGAACAGAAATCGCCAGATATTGTGGAGGAAAAACATCCGAAAAAAAAGAAAGTTAATAAAAGATCAGTCACGCCTGTGTGTGAGTTACTCTAAATTACATAAGTTGTATTTAAAAAATGTTTACTGTTATTTCCGGTAAAGTTCGAAGTTCAAGGACAAAAATCGCCACTTTTTGGGGAGAAAAAAACAACAGATTAAAAATTGTTTGATGTGAAGGGGATGAACAAAGAACATATTATTATTTAATATTAACCCTTAACTGCCTTGCCTGAAAGTGTCTCCTGCTCTTTATGAGGCTGTAAAGCAAACGCGGCAATCATAGGGTTAACAAATACACAGTCTTTTTAACTCGTTCAAATAAACAACTTGTAAAGCCTAAAAATTGTTTGAAAAACGAATTAAATATACACATAACATGAACCCGATCATGTGTTCTAAAATAGAATTTAAAATCCGAAGAAATTTCAAGTTAGTAACTTTGTTAATATGACATTGTAGCATTTTATTTGTTTTGTTTTGGCTTGTTGTTGGGTTTGTTTTATTCACTGTCATCTTTCAAGAAATCCATTTTCTTTTTTTTTAAATTCTCAGTTTTAAAACAGCGACCAACCATGCTTTTGGCTTTTATTCAGAAATCTTTCAGAGGAAAATTAGGGGGAAAGAAAGAAAAAATAATACTGGATGCGTTTGGAGAAAAGAGTCATCAAACCATGCAGCAGAATGGTATAAGCCCAAGTCCCAAATGATAATATTCAGAATGGTTAGTGATAGAATATATCATTGTAAGTAGGGTACACAGGTATACATAACAGATCAGGAAAAGAATTCCTAATGGATACGTTAATACATACATACACAGACAGACAAACTACATAGAAAGGCATATTATACACATTACAAATTGACACACCCACACACACACATACACACATACACACACACAACAACACACACACACATACACACACACACACACACACACACACACACACAAACACACGCACACACTCATTCACTCACTCACTCACTCATTCATAGAACCACAGACAGAAACACAGAGAAACACACACATTTAATTTAATACATGTGTGTGTGTGTGTGTTTGTGTCTGTCTGTCTGTCTGTCTGTCTGTCTGTCTGTCTGTCTGTCTGTCTGTCTGTAAGTTGTACACCTATCCCATGACCAACTTATGACATAATGAAGCTCTTACCGTCGATGTCCTCTCGACCAAACTAAGTACCAAATCCTCAGTATGCCAGTAGGTCAAGGCCGTTCTTTAGTACTAGGCTAATCAGTTATTCCCCTTCCTTTTCTTGATGTCAATATGTGAGGCAGCGTGGTGGAATCAGGCTCTCGTCATTTTTTACGCATGTAGAGTTATTGATATTATCTTAAAGCTTGTTCACTTGTCTTTATTTGGATGAAAAAAATATCCTTTTATCTTGAATACAAGTCGAGATATTTGCTAATGAAGGAGGTGGGTGTCACCTGTTTTCAGAGGAAAAGTTAGTGAGAAAATGGCTGCCAAAGATAAGTTATTTCCATAGCTTAAGATTCAGTGGTAACTGCAAATTTCCATATTTTGTGCCTTTATTCACGGTTTTTCAGAAAAATCCACACATAAATGAGTTCTTTAATTGGCATGAAAGGTGTTGAGCCAAAAAACAAAAATTTGATTAAAATTCACAGGCCTGCGGAAAAAGCAGGTTTCTTCACTTTGATTATTTTGACGAGAGCCTGATTCCACCGCGCTGCCTCACATATTATGGTCGTTTCGTTCAGAGACCAAGAAATGTCCATTATTTAAGCAGAGAAAGAGGTGTGAAAAATGCCATAATTCCTGAGAATATTCCGTTAATTAGTAATGGATTACTTGTCGTGCTTGTCTGGAAGCCCGGAAATTAACTATTAAAATCAGCTCCAGTTTTTGTACAGACCAAGGAGTTTTTGGAGAATTAACAAGATATTTCCGACTTTCCTCAAACATTTCCATAAGCTGCCATTTTCCGGAAACAAACGTCGCTTTTGACACTGTGTCTTCTATTCCTTTGCGCGTAAGTCAAGACGATTTTACGACACTCAAACCGAAACCACGACACTAAACTCTGATGTTAAGGTGAAATCGTGGAAAACCTAAGACTTTCTCTCTCTCGGACAAATCTTTTTGATCTCTCCCTCCCACAGTGCAGCCCGTTATTTCCGAGAACAGACATTGATGTATATATAACGGGGAAGACCAGGGCAGTTTCCGATCATCTTTACGGAAAGGTGGTTTACTGTGGTTTTAACAGCCATTCGCAGCGCGAAATAAAACATCATACTGCGTTGTAACAAACAAAAAGAATATAGTAACCAATGCTTGTCGCTTTACCTTTTAGAAGTGTGCGCGCCACCTGGAACGATGGTGTTTTATTTGTTTGTATCGCTTGTTTCTCTCATCAATAGAAATATCTGCTGTTTCCCTCTCTGCAAGTACTGTCTCCCCGTGCACCTTTATTCCTCTCTTAGAATTTACTCGCGTTAATACATGTATGTTTGTATCTTGAAGCCTACTCTTTTATGATGAAAATGCTAACGTCGGCATCGATATTAATATTTCCAACGAAACTTGCTTCGACCTGTAAGAGGTATTGTAGCCTTCAGTTTCCAGTTGCACTTATTTACGAAAAAAAAACCCTACTCAGAGGCATAACAACCAGCGCGGAGTTCACAAGTCCATAAAGCC